AACGAACTTTGCTATAGTTTATTCCCAAACGTCAAGCGTTCATATTATCATTTAAGCTTTTCATTTTGACAATTGTTGCTTTTTTAAATATATTTATGAGCAATTATGAATCGTCAACCTGGGTTTTAAGAATAAATATCGAAAAATTTGCTTTTAAAAAAATGAAATAATTATTATTTTCAAGGCTGTATTCAAAAAAAGGTATTAAATGAAGGTTACTTTAAATAAAAATTCGAACTTTGTTGTGCCTATTTTTATATGATAAGTAAGCTTCGGTTTTAAGTGGTTCTAAGCTCAAAGTCGGCTTCGACCAGAAAAGTTCGTAATGTAAATCCCGTATTCAGGCGGTACGTAAATTGTGTTATTCAAACTCGGAGTCTTGTTAATTTATTGTTGTTGCTTCATTTTTGAAATTATTTGTTGTATTATGTTAGAACGATATTGGGTATTTGGCAATACCTGACAGCTGTATGGTGAACTAAAAGTTCAGTTGATTAAAAAAATAAAATTTTGTTCGTTTTATTTTTTACACTTTACAATTTTACAACTTATCCAACTGTCAGACAACTTTTCATTTGCATTTAGTCTGTAAAAGTAATTGATATCTGTTTTTTTTTATTACAAATTTATAATTTTAATAGTTATTTTTTCTTAAAAATAAATATTTCTACTTAGAGTCATGTTATATAGAGTGTCTCGGGAACGGCATAAGTAAAATCATTGTTATTTTCAATGCAAATTATAAAACAGAGATTAAGAGAAAAAACAATATGTCGGTTCAAAATCCGGCATGAGAGCCGGCGTATTAGTGCCTTGGTACTAAAACATAGCAGTGTTGTGGTCTAGTAGCAAATTAGTACAATATTTTCAACATGTTTTCGAGAAAAAATTGCAGTAATTTTATTTAATATAACCGCTAAATTAATCTAACTATTTCCGATTTAATGACCAATGTATTGTAATTTTGTAAGTACTGTTAATAATTATTATAAGATAATATAATAATAAATTAACATTATTACAGCCTCTATTAATTTTTTTTCTTGCTGGTTATTTTTGGTGGCAAATTGAAAGTGAGCATATATACTCACTATACTCGTATATACTCATATATACTCGTTTTCTTTTAAATCAAGTCACAGCCAAAAAGTACCAAAAAGTAGTAGAAATACGAAATTGGCAATACTGATGCGACAGGTTACATAACATGAATTTTCGTCATAGCCCGAAAGAGTCCATTTTGCCATGTCCGAGACGCTCTACATAACATGGGCCTTACACATACAATTCTCTTATTGTTTGTTTTACTAATCAATGCTTAAAGCATTTAATTCTATTTAATCAAGATGAGTTTTAGTGAAACAAAAATATTTCAATTTATTGATTTAACTATAATTTAAGCAGTTAGTATTTCTTTTACAGTAGCAAAAACTTACTCGCAAAACCTTCAGAGTTAGGTTTTACATATTTGCAAAATATTGTACGTCTTAAACTTCAGTGCAGCCAAATTTAAAAATCAGTCTATTGTGAGTGTTCACTAGAAATATGTTTGCAAAATGTCAGTTATCCATAACAATCATATAAGCATTGCATTTACTAATAAATTCAAATTAGTGCTTAACAATTCAAAAATCTAGTGCAAAATCTAATCAAATCATTAAATTGCTTTTGTTGAGCTCTTATCATCAGCAGTCTTAATTAAGGATTTTGTACGTAATTACGATTCAAGGGATTCGTTCGGGACTCAAGGGTGTGAAAAGTGAAGTGATGAAACTTTATGAAATTGCGCATACAAAATCCTTATGTTCTTCTTCCAACCAAAAACTGACAGAATATTTTGGGCACATTTAAAGTCTACAGCTGTGTATGAATTTATCTAAAGTAATTTTCAAATTAATTTGCTGCTGATGATAACAATTTTAATTTGAATTAAGCTAAATAAAACACTCAAAAGATTTAAAATTAAAGCACACAAAGATATTCCAGAAGCTAGTCTTTTCTTGGTGGAGTTCTCATAAATGCAGTTCATCCGTTGGACATGAATTCAATGAATATTTCGGCGCGGTATAATTTTTTTTCAAAATGTCTTTCAAGTGGTTTTAGCATTCACTGTCTAGCGCGGAACCACAATCTGACCGTTAATCTAACCAATAAAACGAAGCACAAACACACAATCTTGTTAGTTGGGTTACTTGCCAATATAACAAAATCATGGAGCTTATGCACGCCGTTCATGGAATTAAACTCATTTCAAAATTGTTATTGAATCTTCGGAAAGTAAATAATCCTTGTTAAATGCATAGGAAATCCCCCGCTGAAAGTCGACTACGAAGTATCCGTGCCGCATTGAAAGGAGTTATGCTGCTGCTGCTGCTGCTGCTGCTATTATGGTTGGTGAGGAATGTTGCTGTGCCTTACTTATTGCTGCCAAATTATATGCCATCATTTACGCTCGGCATAAGGCAAGGCATTGAGACACGTGAAGCGTTTGACATGCCAAGCAGAGTCAGAAGCTGCTACCAGTGCACTTTAAGTACAACAATGTGACATAGTAAATTGTTTTTGTGGCATAAAATTTATAACACCAAATTAAGGCATGGCAAGTACCCTTACCCATTGTGGAAGCTCTTGCTAGTTAGTTGGTTCCACTGGTATGAGTGTCATTCATTTAAGGTTTTGTGCTTGGTCTCATTATTTGTTGCTTTGATGCTCAATAATTTTTATGTGTTCTCTGCAGTGCTTTCACTGCTCCTTTCTTTATTTTTGAAGATTTTATACTTAAGAGGATAAAGTTAAGTAAAAGATTATGCTTTGATAGCGAGCGACTTGAGAGGCGGTCCTTTCTGTATAAGTGATTGTGTTCAAATATGTATATTTTTTGTTCACTTATACATTTTGGTTAGAGTACTTTATGTGAGGGTGACCAGCCAGCAATAAAAATTACAAGGATAAAAGGATAAAATTTGTTTTAATAAAATTCGCAAATAATTCAAATACGAGTGGCACTTTTGTTATTATTTGCTACACATTAAACGTAATGAAACGAATAAATTTAAGTGGACAAGAATTTCTTAAACTTATAAAAAGTGCAGATACTCCAGTTTTGAGATTGAACTTTTGGTTTTATAATGATAACTTCTCCATGGAGCATTCACAGATGGTGTTAATAGTTTAATTTATAATTATTATTTTCTAATTTTAAGAAATAAATTGACATTAAAATTGATGTTTCATTAAATTTGCATATAAGCAAATGCTGGCAAATTAGACTCAAGCCGTTAAAAACATGTTAGGAATTAATTCTGCAGTCATCACGGTCTCAAATAATTATCCTTGTACCATCTGCTTAATGTCTTCTGAGCAATAAATTATTAAGGTTTTGATGACAATTAAATTTGATTTAAAATATTAGCATTTATTTAAGTCTGAAATTTTCTAAGTTTGTGCTCTGCACATTCTGACGACGCCACTCTGCAAAGGCACTTTGCTGTGCAAACAGCAAAGAAAATAAAAAGAAAAATGTAATTTACGACAATTTAATTGATTTACTTTTATGTACGTGACCGGAAAAGTAAAAATTGCATTACGCAAGGATTTGTTGCCGGAAGTACTGCTTTCTCATAATTCTTCTGCCAATAATGTTTCTTCTATTCTTTTTAATAATTTTTTCTATAAACAGTGAATTCTGTATTCATTTGTGAATGCTTGAGTAAAGTGCGCGAATGAAGTTCACTTCAGCCTCATCATATTCTCCTGAGAAACATTAAAAATACTTTAATTATATTTCTATATTTTCTATATTTTCTATATTTTATAAAGTTAAATTATTTATTATAATATATGTGATTTAAGTAGAAAAAAATTACTATATAGGATCACTTCACATCTGTGAATCGTTTAGGGCCATGTTATGCAGTCTCTCGGGCACGGCAAAATTCGCTCTTTCGAACCATGCCGAAAATGCATGATATGTAGACTGTCACATCAATATTGCCAATTTTCTATTTCTACTACTTTTTGGTACTTTTTGATTGTGCCTAAATTTAAAAGAAAATGTAGATATGCTTACTTTCAATTTGCCACCAAAAAAAAATTAATAGAGACTGTAATTATTACAGTGCAGCCAAATCCAAAAATCAGTATATTGTTTATTATTATACGAGTATTATCTCATAATTATTATTAACAGTACTTACAAAATTATACACCTTCCCTTAAAATCGGAAAGTGTAATTATTAAATTATTAGCAGTTTATAAAATAGACTGTGTTGCTTACTGCCATTTTTTCTCCAAAACGTACTGAAAGTGAAGTAAGTTGCTACTAAAAGGCACAAATTCTGAAATTTTTTACTGAACAATACTTTTTTGCCTTAGTGTCGAGGCAATAATACGCCGGCTCTCGTGCCGGAGTTTGAACGGTCATATTGTTTTTTCACTCTTTCAAATTCAAAATTTGCTTTGAAAAAAACAACAATTTTACTCATGCCGTGCCCTAGACACTCTGCATAACATGGCCCTTATGTAACGAGGGAATGTTCTCACTGCCTTTTTGTCACTTCATTCGAGTTCGTCGTTTTTATATCATGAAAAATTCAACATAGAGAGGAACTGAATTACTCGCACGTAATTTCACAGCTGAGAAGAATTCGTAAGAAAAAAAGTGAGAAAAAATTCACCACAGTTACATAAGTGAGCAATTGAAACCAAAGAGTTAGAGTAGCACAGGTATGAACAAATTGAATTTGACTAAAAAAAGTTTTATAAATATTTATTATTATTTTTCTTAAAAAATAAGTATTTATTTAAATATGAGGTTGGCATTTCTGCAATGTGAGGTACTTGATATATTTAAAACTTAGCGTCTTGGTATATAACAGTACTACTAACTCTCCACAAAAAACTTCTATTTCATACAACACATTGTAAAATCAAACAACTCAAGTTGAATTAAGTACGTAAGAATTGATATTTAATATATTATTTACTATTTTACAGAATTAAAACTTTTTCAAGAATGAGTTATAAGGAAGTTTTACAAATTCAAAAGAAGTTGAGCAATATCTCAAATTTTGGCACTGGTCAAGAACAGGTACTCGGTCTACTAAGAGTGTTACAAACACTCAACATTAATATAGACGTATTAGCAAGTACACAAATTAGTATATTAGTAAGGCAATTACGGAGACGTAAACAAGACAGGGAAGTGTCTTCGTTAGCTAAAACAATAATAAAAAAGTGGAGATACTTGGTTGAAAAAGCACGTGCCAATAATGTTTTTATTAACATCATCAGATTACCGCTTGATGCTGATGACTTTTCTGCATTACCGAAGATGATAACAGAAAAGTCTTCGTCTTCGTCATTTAAGGAAGAAAAGCGTGAAAAAAATGAGAAACAAAATGTTGAATTCTTTCCATCAGCAACAAATGTACTTCTATTGCTAGCATATGGTATGAAGGATGCTATACGCACTAAGTGTCGTCAAATGCTTTGTAATGCGATTAAGTTTGACGACGGTATACCCAAAGGCTGTACAGATTTTGAAAAATTGGCTGCAGAATTGGAGGACGCTATTTATAATGTATTTAGAAATATCGATAAAAAATATATACGTCGAATACGATCAAGGGTGTTTAATTTAAAAGATCCTAAAAATCCTGCATTACGGTTGAATTATATAAGGGGTGTGGTATCTCCAAAAACTCTTGCAACGATGACACCGGAAGAAATGGCAAGTGATGAAATGAAACAAATTAGACAGAATTTGAAAAAGAAGACTATAAAATGTGGATATGATTGCAAGTTTTAAGGTTGCAACGGTTTTATATTTATTTTATTAACACAAATATTTTAGTATATAATGTTTTAATTGCAGATTATCATATTCTTGTAATACCATTTATTAATTAATTTAAATTTTTGGAAAAATAAAATGTATAGTATACGGTATACAAATCTCAATATATGAAAAGTAAATTAAAAATCAAAACCAAAACTACCTGATGCTAAAAATTATATATAATTAAGACGCTAAGTATGTAAACTGAATTAATTAATAAATTTAAAAACTGAATGAAATTTTATAAGTTACTAAAAATTTTAAACAAAACCGTCTAAAGTTTTAATTATATTTTTGACCATATTCAATTGATAATGTATATAAATAGTGTAAGGATGGAAATTTTTACCAATTTCCGACCAACATGTAACCACCAGTGTGTAGTGCTTATCTGAAATAAAAGTTGATCAATTTTTATTTAATATATTATATATAAACACCATAAATACACCACATGAATCAAGTTGAAAATAAAAAAAATATATATTCATAAGGAGTATAAAGTATATTTGAATAAATAAATAATACACGTACCTCATTTATTTATTATTTATATTTATAAGTTTTTGTTAAACAAAATACAAAGCATGGCGAATTCAAAAACACACGAAAACACAAAGCATAAAAATTACACGCGGGAGAACAATAGCAACAAAACACAACAAGTATCAAAAATACCAACGGCAAATGTACCGATGCGCTACACGAAAGTTTCGGTCATTTGAGTATAAAAAAACTCGTTTGTACAAGCAAGGCAGTTAGTGATCGACACTTAAAGTCATCACATGCATGCAGGGGCACATAGTGCTTAACATTCCAAGTCATCAGAAGTACGCAGGAGAACTTTGTGTTAAACCTTTCAGAAGACTTCGTAGACACATCAGAGCAGTTAAGTATAAAGACAACCGCATCAACAATTTCTTTTTTATATACTTATCCATACTTATATAAATATTTCTATAAAAATTATATATTTATAAATTTTCTAACCAAATCCCACATAAGCGTCAATACGTTTATGTCTTTTTTTTATAAGCGTGTATACGTTTACTCCCCCCCGCCAAGCCAGTTTCATATAGAAGTAGTATAGAAGTAGCAAAATGTGTCGTTATAATAATAGCACGCTTTAACAAAACTACAATTTTGATATAAGTCCTAAAATCACTGAAAATATATTTTAGTAACTGGAAACTAGGTTCTTTTAAAATCCATTGATAACATTATTCCAAAATATGTCAACAAAACTCCATGTTTACTATAAGTTTAACCTATTATTCTTTTAAGTATCATTATGATTGCAGTAATTAAAATGTCAACTCCATTTTAATTACTGAAAAATGATTTCTCTTGAAATAGATTGATAGATAATATTGTTCCAGAATATGTCAAGTTTATCTGCGACAGCTAAATTCGTTTAAAACTGTTAATCTCTTTTACACTACAACTGTTAATATTTTATTGGGGTACTTCCTGCCGAGTTGATGAAAGTCCTTTTAATGTATTTATTATTATATTACTAATCTACTACATTCTCTGGAATAAATTTTTGATTTTATTGGAACGTTTGTAACTAATATACGATATATATGTATGTATGTATATAATTGAAGTAATTATTTTTCTTTTCAAGTTAAATGACTTACCAAGTATTAAAAAGTCTGATGTAATAAATAAAGGAAGAAAAAAGGAAGAAACTTTGATATTTAAGAATAAGTCTTTAGTTTGACATTAATCTAGATTTGTTAATTATAAGACAGATGCGAACGTTAATATATGTAAATATTTAACCTTAACTTAGCAATAGAACGTAATTTATTTATAAATCACCTATCACCTATCTCACCAACTTCTGTAATATAATTTGCCGACAAGAAAGCGGATTTTTACGAAAATGAATCGCAATAAAATTCAGATTTTTCTCTCTGTTGTGGCACACTCCTCTTTAGGTCTTCGTCGAAGCCGTTTCCATCTATCTTTGCAATTGATTAATTTTTCATCTTATTATTGTTTTCAAACCCGTTTCATTCTCTTTGATGAATTCACATAATTTAAAGTAGTATTGAATATTGATTTGAATTCCTAAAATACAAAATAGTCTACTTATTTCTTTTAAGATAAAGCAAATTTTATCAAACCAAAAAACGTTTTTATGTATTAGGTTAAGCAATTGAAAGACGACCATATCTTTTTGGTAAGATATTATTTTTTATTGATTCAAACTACAAGACTTTGCCGAAATAATCAAAATTTCAGAATCCATTCACTTTAGTTCGATGTGGCCACCTTCAAAAGGTTAAAAAATGAGTAAAATGCTTCACGAATGTGATCTTCCGGTATTTTGACCTAATCCCAAACAATGACTTTCTTTAGCGCATCCATATTAGCATATTTTTTAGTCCTCACCTTGCTCTTCAAAATGGCTTAAACTGAAGAGTTAATTGGATTTTCATCTGGTTTTCATCGAATTCGAAAGCAATTTTTGTGGACAAAACAAAGTGTGAAACATAATTTTTAAACAATTCATGGTTCACACGAGCTTTATGAGACTGAGACCGAGTGCCGAGTCTTGTTGGAACATTCATGGTCTAGGACGATTGGAGAGCGTCTATCGGCGGTCACAGTGCCCATGCCATTACTTGAGATGGAAAATTACATCAGTTGACAATTCTTAGTCTCTAATTTTCGGCAGTGCTTTTAGTGAAGTAAACACGATCATTTTGAAAGTTTATGAACTGCTCAATGGGGAATTTTTTCTCATCAGAGAACACAATGTTTCGAAATTCGTCACGTTCGTGCAAACGTAACAACTCCTTTGCTCTTTCGAGTCTAAACTGCTGTTGCTTTAGTGTAAGATCTTGTGCCTTTTGCAACTAATGAGGTTTTACCTTGAGCTCATTTTGGAATATGCGACGGATGCTTCATGGGATATTTTCAGTTGTTTAGCCATATGATTACTACTATGACGTGAACTTCGTTTAAGTCGAGCCTTTACTTTCCGAACTATTTCAGGTAATGTTGCTCTTTTTTTTCGCTTAACACCATAGTGTGTGTACTATTATAACGATTTATGGTACGATACACAAACATTTTATTCACTTTAAGGTGTTTGAGCTCACAAACAATAGCTGGTTGTGATTTTTCCAGCCAAATATAACGCAATCACATTATTACGTATGAAATACATTTCAAATAACTTTTGTTCTATAAAACTTAGTTGTCATTCGTATGAATTTCACTTAGTTGGCAATATCAGTTTGACAGATATACCTGTGTATAGTTGATGATACTTCAATCGCCTAACCCTGTAGATGTTTAAACCTAATTTAGCAATGTTTGAAATAAATAATAATCATTTTCGTAAGTCTATAATTGGAACTTTAAACTAAAAATTGGGATTTCTTATCAATATGCGAAAAATTATAATTTATTTTTAATAGTGAGTCTACTCCGCGTAAATCGGGACGGATGGTGGGAGGTATTTTATTTGTAAATGTAAAAATAAACTTTAAGTTATATGCAATTTTTTTAATGAGTTTGCTTTGAAATAGTTTTTTTTATTATATAATATATAAGTATTTCTCGTACACCTTTCGATTCATTAGCTAGCTACTTTTATTTCTTTTATTATTAGAATAAACTTTAATGCTTCAATGGATTCGTCATTTAATTTAAACATAAAAATTTGTTAAAATATTTTTTAAGTATTGCGGTTTACCATTAAAAGGCATAGATTTTATTGAAAGTTCTATTTACTTTGCGTCTGGTATTTTTCGTGCGTCTTGTGAAACTCATTACCACGTCCAGTCCTTGTCTGTCTGTCAGTTTGTCTGTCTGCCTGCTCCATTATCTCTCCGTTTACTTGTCTTGTTATTTCGCTCGTGGCATTGACAAAAAGTAAAGTAGGAAGCAATTTCGGAAATGACAACAATACTTTGCAGATTACTGATAAAATAGATTGACAGTGTTGATAGCCGAAATAATTAATTGAATGAAAGGCTACAAATGCTTTTAATTAGTTGGTAATTTCCAGCGCAACATAATACTCCGCAAACTGATATGGGATAGGAAAGTGAAATGTTCACCAAGCACGCAAACAACAATTAAGTTTAATTTTTTATTGTCATTTCTTGTTTCATTTAAAGCCAAAATTTAATTTTATTTCAAAGTTACTGAATTCGAACAATTCAAAATGAGCACCAACGAAATTAAATGGCGTGAGGCAAGTTTTTGACGCTTCACAAGAATGATAGGCGTTTGAGTTTGCATGGAGTATAGAAGACACATGCACACACATTCACACTAATGTACTGATGTACATGTGAACAAGTATAAAAATTATTCAAGCTGAAGGATGTATGATAATTTCCGACGGAAGTGTAATCAAAAATCGCTTAGACAAGTGGTATGGATGCGCGCGAAATGCTTCACTTCCGCATATGACGATGTACGCCGATGGTGTGTGTTGGTAAGTGTCAAAATATAGGGGGCTGAGCAAATTTTACAACACCTGTGACATTTTTTTTTTTTTGAGTTTATTTTGTTAGTATTGAAGCGGATAGAAGCGGTACTGTTGCAATGTGAAGTGCTACATTTTGCATAAGACATTTTCAAATATTCTGATTCGTTTTTAATTTAATTTTAGAATGCGACAATATTTTTAATATTTTTGTTATTTTTGTGTTTTCATATTAAAAGAAAATTTAATGCAATTGCCATGCAATTAGCAGCAAATTCGCTTTTTGTGTGAGCGAAAAAATTATGAAACTCGGCTGCCAACATATTTCATGTTGGCGTCGCGTTGCCAACGTACGAGTTTCCGCTAAATTTGCAGCGCAACGCATTTCAGCGGCGCTCATCGAAAAATATTCATTTGCATATGCAACGATAGGTTCGTGCATGTATTTATGTTGTTGATTTATGTTTGTCGGTGGATTTTAATGGCTTCATTAGATATCAGACATAACACTTATGTTTTACGATCGCGTTGATTTATTTCATTTTTGAATTATATTTTCATTTTTAGTGAAGTTAATTTTAACGCAAGTAAAAAGTTTATTGCTCCACATCAACTCATCGCGGCGGAATGGTTAAATTGC